GGAACATTCGAGGTTACAGAAGTAACCCTTCGTTCCCTGAGGAGGGAAACGGAAATGCTATACTCCGTCGCCATGATGACTGTCCCTCAGCTGTTAAAAGTCTCTTCAGCTTAAAAAGGATGCCGTTTGCTGGTGCCAGGTGTGCTTATATGCTGGGATAATTGGCAATGAAGCACACCTGCGCAAGCTTACGCTGCCAATTCATTGTTTTCATTGGCCCATTCAATACTCTTTCAGACAATCGGCTTCTGAATCGAAACCTCCCATACGTGGATTTTAACATCAAATCCACTTATAGCACTTCCGTTCCCCTCCTCCCGTTAGCGGGAACGGGCGTGGCGGAAAGAAAATTAAGTTGGTCAGGCAGCGGGACAACAAATGCTGAATATAAGCGGGAGCGGTCGGGTTCAGGCTAAAACCTGACGGACGGACGGACGGGAGCGGGATTCAAAATTTAGTCCTGCGCAGATCTCTATAGCGAGGTGCACAAATAATTACAATTTACTACTTTAATTTTACATGACTTCAAATGTACTTGTAAAAACAGGAAAAACTCTGTATAAATAATTAAGCAATTTTATTGTATAAAACAGACAAATTGCTGTAATTTGTCATTAAATGTATAATACATAAAATAATAGTCAAGCTGTTAATCTACAGATTGTTTTGAATATAATTTAAAATAACAGGACAAAATACTGTATAAATAATACAGTAACTTCCCTGTATAAAAAACAAAAATGTCAGTAATTTGTCTTTAATGATGAAGTCAAAATGTTAATTTAGAGGATTGTTTGTCATTTTACTGAGTTTGGATTATAATTTGAAATGAAAAAAAAAATCCTGTAAAAATTTTGAGATATTCTGTGTAAAATAAGTTTTTTTTTCACAGTGCAGAATAACACTGCTTTAATAAATGGCATTGTGCATATTCAAAACAGGCAAAGCAACAGATTAATATTATTCAACATATCCCAGAAATTTTAATAATATTTTTAGATGTAACCCCATTTGTAATCTTTAACATTTACACATTTTTTACATTTAAACATTCTTTAATTACACATTTTTCTCAGTAACTGTAACAAATTACTGTTACTTTTATTTTGTAATTAAATTATGTAACAGTTGCATGTAACTAGGTACTCCCTAACACTCACTATAGGTGCATCCCAAATTGCATACTTATGCACTATTCTACCCCATTGTGTAGTATAAATAGTGTTAGTATTGCATTCACAAAATAATAAGTGCACTTTAATTACCCAGATCATTGACCGCTGCTTTGCTCACATGGCTGAAGGGGTGGAACTTTCAGGCACTGATGTTGGATTACTTTATTTATTTTAGATGGTGAAAGCTAAATTCTCCTACGAGAGTGATAATCTCGATGGTAAATGCGGTTATACTCATGGCAGATATTGGGCCCTAACATACACCCAGCGCAATGTGGTGCAAGGTGCAAAACAATGGGCTATATGCACGCATTACTTCCGCGTTTTGTCTAAGGCCGCGGTCCAGCTTCCGGTCTGGGTGATTTTAAGCGGAGGTGAACAGTATTATGGCAGAGTCGTCAATATTTACTCGCTGTTTGCGAGTAAATTATGGTCAACGATGTGCAAATGATTGTCCGGATGTGCTCTACAACACCGCAGAGCAAAGCTTGAGAAGGGTTTCAAGTTGTATGCATCTTCCTACCTGTGCAATTATGAAGGTAAGTTCAGCTAGCCTGAAGGCTAACTTTAGCGTTAATACTCTTACGATCCGTCCATCTGCAGCTTTATCACGTAAGTAAAAATAATCATATGTGTACGTAATTCTGTCTCAAAGTGTCAGGTAAAAACAGGGCAGGAATAAGATCTCAGTGAGAGCTCATTACTACCGATAGATCTATGAAGAAATCGGAGTCTCCTCACCAGCTGAGAGTAGGACAGCATCAGGACAGCATACATGTGAAGTTCTGTCCCATTCATACTTTTACTGTTCTAAAGTGACCACCACTGTTCAGTTCGGATAATTACAGAAACACAGATGCTGTCTTAGCTTGTAAGCATGATTATTGAGCAAGATATATTAGGAATAAAATAATACAATGCCGTTCCATCCACAACAGACAAATAGCACTGTGTCAATGCTGAGATTTATTGCTGAAACAGTGGAGATGACAGATGCAGTGTAACAGTGGAGATAGCATGCTTTCTATTTAGTCGATAACATTGTAATTAAATGGGAGGGTGACCCAAAACAATAAGGTGTCATTAGTTAATTTCACATCAACAATTTGTCTATTTTAATATTTATTAGTTTTTTACATTAATGAACAAATGCTTATTCATTGTGCTTGTTAACTCACAATGTAATAGCTAATGTTAACAAGCATGACTTTGGATTTTTATTCATTAGTAAATTAGTTTAACAATGCTAACTATTAAATATTAAATAGTTATTTTAATAGTGAGCAAATACATTAATTAATGAAACCTTATTTGAAAGTGTGACTTAAGGGAGCTACTTTTAAATCATTTAAATTAATGATTTACTGTGTAGTTTAATCTGATGATATTGCTGCAGATGCCTTTCAAAAGAAGATATTTTGAAGAAAGCTGAAAACCTGTAACCATCGACTTCCATAGTAGGAAAAAGAACTACTATGAATATCAGTGGTTGCAAGTTTCCAGCTTTCTTCAAGGTATTTTTGTTTGTGTTAAACATCAGAAACAAACTCAAACAGGTTTGGGACAAGTGAAGGATGAGGAAATAGAATTTTCAGTTTTGAGTGAACTGCCTTTAATGACTCTCTTTTAAAAACCTATTAATATTCTTGTTTCTGTTTTCTAGGTAACATTATGAGATTCAGAGCTAGAAAATTTTATGTGTTACTTCATCCTGGAGTGGACATTCGTCAGAAGATCCATGCCATCGTCTGCTAGTTAATAGCTCCTGCTCTTGTGTGGCTGAGAGCGGGATATGCAAACATTTGGTTGCTTTGCTTTTCCAGACAGCCCATTACTCTAAAATGTGTAATGTGTGTTGTCACATGAACAATTGTTTGGAATGGATCAATTATGTGTTAAGTTCCATGAAACAGAGGGGTGATTTATTTATTCATTTAATACGTATAAGCCCAAATACCTCTCTATGCACAAGTTACAGAAGAAGCACCTGATTCAAGAAAACAACTGATTCAATGTCATTTTTTCTGTTCATCTGAATAAAATATTTTTTTCAAAATGTTAAATTTTTTTGACAATTTTTATTTCAAATTACATACAGTGAATTATATTTTATATGTACAGTGAATAAAATAAAGGTCTTTATTCTGAATAAAAAATTGCACTTAGAAAGTAGCTTAAGAAATGTTTATGTATATTAATGTTCATTTTTTTTAACTTCAAAGGCAATGAAAATAAACTATTATTTGCCAGAAAAGCTCCTTTCTTTAAATGTCTGCATCCGATTGGCACTCGAGCCTCGATCAGTTTTCTAGACTGAAATTGTCAGCTACACTCTTGTTTTTTTCTGTTTCTGTAAAATTCTCACATTAAATATCACCAACCCACCTCTTCTGCACGACTTTGTCTTTTGGAAACGTGTGGAAACTAAGGTAAGAGTTCAATTTTTGACGCTGTGCATTGCTGAACACAGCAGTGGTATCTACAAGTACTGTTCTCACGTCTTTGAAATGACACTTTTAAACGTTTAGATGTCATATTTATGTAGCTGACATAAACATATATAAGTGGGCTATAATGGCATAAAACATTAAGACAACTGTCCAAAACATAACTCGTTTTTATCAGTAGCGCTCCTGTTGTAGCACTGTACTGTACGATCGGCGGAAGTAGGCTCGGGGTCTTAAATTTTACCGGAAATGCGTCACGCGCCGCCGTGCATAGAGCCCATTGTTGTTTGCTAGTTTTAGCTTGGTGCAAGAGTCTTTTTGACGTTTTCCGACACGTTGTTTAAATAACAAATGCATTTGCGCTCATATGTGCGCCCATAGGCGTTCTAGTCTAAAAAAGGAAGTGTGTTATGCTGAATTGCTGGCGCGTTGCTATTTTGAGGAACAAAATAGACTGTTCTATAAACCAGATCAAAGCAGGTCTATTGTCCAGCTCAGAGCATGTTATTTGTGCGCCCTCGCTTACTCGTTGCTAAATACACACAGGGTGTACAGCAATACACAAATATCTTTACAAATGAAAAAGATATTATTTTCTAGCCTACATAAATATAAAAACCCTACTTTCATGCTTTCCTTATCTTGGGGGGCTTTTTTAATGTATTCATAACAATTTGCTTTTGTATAATGTTTTCATTATTAGCAGTATTATTTATCATATTCATATTTATATTTGCTTTATTAAAAACAAGCTTAGATTTGTCCACCTGTCAAGTTTTAGACCATAAGGGGCACAGCATGTGTATTTGGAAATAACTCAGTTGTTTGAACACACTTGGTTATTATTGTTCATTTATTAGTTTGCTGGAAATGAGAACTGAATTTAGAAACAGTTTTGAAAGAAATCTTTGCGCTTAACAAACAAAATTAATTATGTAAAGGCCAATAGATATATGTGCTTACAACATGTTTCCCCATCCACGAGAGCAAAAGTGAAAGTACAGAATGAGGAGGCTCATTCTCTTATTTTTGCGCTGCAGATGCTCTGTTTAACTGTTTTCTCGCTAGAGAAGTGTTCAGTTTTTCCACTTAAAAGGTCCGCCATGTAAATAGCAAATGCTCTATGACAAGACGCAACTGATTCTTAAAGGGAATGGATGATGAGACCCGGTTTGTTTAATTCTCAAAACACACCTATAACTCAATAAGAGAATAAGCTCAACCCTGTTAGACCATGCACCGCGATGCAAAGTGGATTTTTCCATCTCTAATATAGCAAAAGTGTATTCAGACACGCCCTTAATGCTTTTGCGCCCTGCGCTTGCACTTTGCACATGGATCGTCAAAATAGAGCCCATTATTTGGTAGTTTGGACATTTATTTCACTAATTTGGCAACGGTCAAACATCATCAGGGAATAGAAATAGATGATGACAGTTTTCTACGAGGGTATCATTCCAGTTGAAACTGAAACCAATACAATGTCCTAGACCTGGTCCTGGATTTTTTTTTATGATCATTGCACAGTGTCTAAATAAGCTAAACACTGTTTTTCTCCTAACAAACCCTAAGGTAAGAGAGAAGGAACAGGATAACCTCTTCACTCAAGTGGCGTGGTGCATTCTGGGACCACGAAGCATTTGGCAAAAGGTCCCAAAAAAGGCAAATCATCAACTTGAGAGAGCCGATGTAAATGATGGAATTGTGGATGCGCAGGGTGTGAAATGGACTGTGGATTTGAGAAAACTGGAGGCCACAGAATGTGATTCAGGACAGGTGACGGCTCTCAAACGCCTGGAGAACCTTTCAGGTGAGGATGCTTTTATTCAATATCACCACAATTATTATAAACACAATATTTGTTCACATCACACATTTGTTGCTGTGGGAGAGGAAATCTTTTAACCACTCATCTCCATCTATTATGTAATTGAAATAGCATAGCTATTTTTAATCCCAATTGTTTATTTCATTTTTCTGGAAGCTCTTATAGGGAATAAATTCCTCTTTTAAATAAAGACAAATATATATATATATATATATATATATATATATATATATATATATATATATATATATATATATATATATATATATATATATATATATATATATATAAATATATATATATATCTTGAATAACATGCATCAATGCCACATGATCAGATCAGTTTATATACTTCATGCATTCAAATATCTTAAAGGGATTGAATTCCTGTGCAGATTTGACAAAGAAGTACTGTAAAAATCTGGGATTAAATGAATTAACCACAAATCTCACTATTCTGCATTTCAGATTTCTCTTTTCCCATCCACTGGGACAGCATGAATCAAAAAGGTTTAAAGGTGGTTGCTTTAGATCCACAATCAGCAGAGTACAAGACTGTAAAAGCAGATTTCCAGAGGACCGTCTTAAAGACTGTGCTCAAGGTTTGAGACTCATCACCATTATTAAATGATGTTTTATAATCAAGTTTCAGTAGAACTGTACACAGCAATGCACATTAACCAGATTAAATTCATCATTGGCAATTACATCGTTATACAAACAGAAAAAGAAAGAGCAACAAGAGAATGGATGTTGATTTAAGTTCCCAAAGTGGGGGTTGGAAACCTCTGGGGGGTCGCGAGGCAATGAGTAGGGATCACTTGGGGATTGCCAAAAAATATCATATATATTATTAAACTATCTTTTTGTATGTTTATCACCACCCCTGAGGATAGTGGGGGGTCACAAACTGTTATTTTGGAGGGTCGTGAGCTGAAAAGTTTGGGAACCCCTGAATTAGATTACTTATTTGTAATTTTTATTTAGGTTAAATTTTTTTGAAAGTTTAAATATTATAACTGTCCTATTTATTGTTACAATGTAATATCTTTGTGAAGAACAAGTTTTTCAGTTGTAATTGATCTTGTTTGTGTGCAAATACATTTCAACAGATCGAGCGCATCCAGAACATCAATCTTCGGCGGTTATATGAGGCACGTAAATCTGAGCTGGAGATCAAGAATGATCCAGCTGTCGGAGCAGGAGAGAAAATCCTTTATCACGGCTCTGCACAGGCGTCCTGCTCGTCTATCATGAGCACAAACTTCAACCGCAATTTTGCTGGGCAGAATGGTAAAAAAAAAAAAAATCAAAAATCCTTGATTTAAAAAAATCACCCATAAATGTCAAATATTTTGTCTTTAATTGTTGATGAATGCTGCATTTGCTTCTTTTATCAATACTTTGCTTTTTTAAAACATGCCTTACACATATAAAAAGATTTTATTTTACAGCCATTTTTTGGACATTATATGATTCTCAGAGAAAATGTTTTTATGTTTTTTATATTTTTGGTAAAAATTAATAGTTAATCTGATCCAGAATTTCTGTCACCATTTGATTAGCATATTAGCAAGGTTAATATTTTAAATTTTTGATTGTGTATGTGGTTTTGTTTCGCCACTTTGAGCTTTTGGGAACTTTTATTGTTATGTATCCTACTAAATTCCACATGGTTCCAAACACATACCCAAACACATACTTACATACTTACTATTGTTTTTTTTTTTTATCTTCATTTGTAATCATTCCAGCTATTTCTTATAGATACAGTTAGTTCCCCTTCGGTTGGGGAACTTCAGTGCCATAGAGTGGATTGATTGAAATCCACGAATGGGAGATTCGATCAGAAGCTGCTTGTCTGGAGAGTATTGAACGGGCCAATGAATGAAAATGAATTGGCAGCGTAAGCTTGCGCAGGTGTGCTGCATCGCCAATTATCCCAGCATATAAGCACACCTGAAGCGAGCAAACGCCATCCTTTTCCCTTCAGATCCTTTCTGAGTGAGTCGATGAGGGTTCCTCTTGCTGTTCAGCACTTCAGAGCGAACGAGTGTCTCCCGGTCCAGAGTGGGTTTTCGCGGCGGCAGACGGTCGAGCTGGGTTTCTCCCTTGCCTGCGGTTCTTTGGGTCCGGTCCTTCAGAGCGGTGCGTATTGTTGCAACTTTCCTAAAAGAGCAACACAGTCGTGCAGCACGTCCTTTTCAGGATGGCGCTCCGACTGTGCGTTTCTGGATGCGGGGGTTTCCTGGCTCCGGATGTTGGACACGATCACTGCATTGCATGTTTGGGGTCCAGCGTGTTAATGCAGTGCTCGCGGGCGGTTCATGTCGTCATTGCGATGCCATGACCGTTGCACAGCTAAGATCGCGGCTAACTTTCGTAAGAGAGCGAGCCACCCCAGTTGCCTCCTGTTCTAAAAAAGCAGCGGGCGCTCGGGCAGATCTGAGGGTTCCAGTGGGAGATAATCCGCCGCCCACGGGCTCGCGGACCTCTCGCTCCTCACGGCGCTCCATCCAAGCTTCGGGTAGTGGGAGTGATCCGTCTAACCAGATGGTAGCTCTCACGCTCGCTGACACCGGAGATCAGATGTCCTCCGCGGCATCGGAGGGTGGGCTTTCACTGTCCGACGAAGATCCGGACCCGCTCGCCCCCTTCGGGCAGGTGAGCACCGTCAAATCGGATCCTGAAGCGGACATGTTAGCTGTGCTTTCCCGGGCTGCTTCGGCCGTGGGGTTGGAGCTAGTTTATCCCCCAGCTCCGCAGCCGGACCGACTAGATGGGTGCTACGTAGAGGACCAGAAGGTGAAGCCTTTGAAGCCTCTTGTCCCCTTCTTCCCGGAAGTGCACAGTAGGCTCATGCAGTCTTGGAGGGCACCTTTCTCTGCCCGTGCTTCGTGTCCCTCCGCCCTCACCGCCCTTGACGGCGGAGCTGCCAGGGGGTATGAGGCGATCCCGTCAGTGGAGCGTGCTATCACGGTCAATCTTTGTCTGCGCGGCGCCTCTACGTGGCGGGGTTTGCCCCGCCTCCCGTCCAAAGCCTGTAGGTTGTCTGCCTCTCTCAGAGCCAGAGCTTATAAGGCTGTGGGCCAGGCTGCTTCTGCTTTGCACGCGATGGCCACCTACCAGCGCTACCAAGCGCAGACCCTGGCCGAGCTGCACGAGGGCGGGTCTAACCCAAGCTTATTACATGAGCTGCGCACCGTGACCGACTATGCTCTTCGGACTACTAAGTCCGCCGCGTGTGCGCTGGGGAGGACGATGTCCACACTTGTGGTTCAGGAATGCCACCTCTGGCTAAACCTGGCCGATATGCGCGATGTAGACAAAGTTCGCCCTCTTGACTCGCCCATATCCCAGGCTGGCCTGTTTGGCGACACCGTCGGTGAATTCACCCAGGAATTCAAGGCGGTGAAAGAGCAGTCGGATGCGATGGGCAATGTCATCTATCGGCGTGGCCGTAAGCCCGCTCCATCCCCGGCCGAGCCATCCACCTCTGCTGTTCCTCGCCGAGGGCGCCCGCCAACATGTGCTGCCCTGCCCCCGCCTGCGCCTCCGGCCAAGCGGGCGCGGCGTACACCTCGAAAACAGGCAGCCCCCCTTGCCCAGGGCGCCGTTAAGACCGGCAAACGGACCGCGAAGCGTCCCTGAGACAGGCCATCCGGAGAAGAGGAAACTTGCTCTTTCCCCGCTTTAGGGCGGGGCCCCAATTACAAAGGTACTTTTCAGTGCCACCAAAACATCAATCAAAGAGCACTTTTCCCCTTCCCCCGGATGTGACAGCACAAATTCTGCCAGTCCGGGACGCGCTGCCTTCCGGCTCGCAGATTCTACGTGCTTCGCCAGTGGCTCACGAGCGCTGGGGGGGATGGTCTCCCTTCCCTCAGCCCTCCAGCCCCCTCTCCGGAGTCAGGGTGCGGAGCCAGAGCGAATCGCTCTCCTCCAGCTCTTCCGCGGGACCCTCGTGCTCCCCGGATCAGCACACCCACTCCGCGCTGCCCCACCGCTGGTACGTCAGCGATTGTAGCGATGACTCCATTAGCGAGGGCTCTGCCTGCCTGGTTAGCGCGGGCCAGCCTCTCGCGGTGGCTCATACGCACAGTCAGACTCGGTTACGCGATTCAGTTCGCGAAACGGCCCCCCAAGTTCACGGGCGTGTATTTCTCCAGGGTCAACCCCCTGTCCGCCCCTGTCTTGCGAGAGGAGATTGCTGCCCTCCTGGCGAAGGGTGCAATCGAGCCAGTTCCTCCAGCCGAGATGGAGAGTGGGTTTTACAGCCCATACTTCATCGTACCCAAAAAGATTGGTGGGTCTCGACCAATCCTAGATCTGCGCGTTTTGAACCACTGTCTGCACAAGCTGCCGTTCAGAATGCTCACGCAGAGGCGCATTCTCCAATGCGTTCGTCCTCAGGATTGGTTTGCAGCCATAGACCTGAAGGACGCGTATTTCCATGTCTCCATTCTTCCACGCCACCGCCAATTTCTGCGGTTTGCGATCGAAGGTCGAGAGTGGCAGTACAAGGTCCTCCCCTTCGGGCTCTCTCTGTCTCCGCGGGTCTTCACCAAACTCGCAGAGGGTGCCTTAGCGCCCATTTGGCTCGCGGGCATCCGCATACTCAATTATCTCGACGACTGGCTGATTTTAGCCCACTCCCGGGAGCAATTGATTGTGCACAGGGACAAGGTGCTTCGGCATCTCCGCCTACTGGGGCTTCAGGTCAACCGAGAAAAGAGCAAACTCGCCCCCGTGCAGAGGAGCTCTTTTTCTCGGGATGGAGCTGGACTCGATCACCATGGTAGCGCACCTCTCCGAGGAACGCGCTCGCCTGTTGCTGAACTGTCTGAGGAAGCTCGACAGCAAACTAGTGGTCTGAAGTTCTTTCAGAGGCTCCTGGGGCATATGGCATCCGCAGCCGCCGTCACGCCGCTCGGATTGCTCCATATGAGACCACTTCAGCACTGGCTTCACGATCGGGTCTTAAGACGCGCATGGCACGCGGGCACACACCGGGTCTCTGTTACTGCGCTGTGTCACCGTGCCCTCAGCCCTTGGAACGACCCCTCGTTCCTACAGGCCGGTGTGCCTCTAGGACAGGCATCCAGCCATGTGGTTGTTTCAACAGATGCTTCCAACACGGGTTGGGGGGCCGTGTGTCACGGGCATGCGGCTGCAGGCCTGTGGAAGGGTGCCCAGTTGCATTGGCATATCAATCGCCTAGAGCTGTTGGCAGTGTTCCTCGCTCTCCACCGCTTTTTACCGGTGCTGGAGCGGCAACACGTGCTGGTCAGGACGGACAGTATGGCGGCGGCGTATATCAACCGCATGGGGGGTATGCGCTCTCGCCGCATGTCTCAGCTCGCCCGCCCTCTGCTCCTCTGGAGTCACCCGCGGCTGAAATCGCTGCGCGCCATTCACGTTCCAGGCACGCTCAATCGTGCAGCCGATGCGCTCTCAGGACAGCTGTTAAGCACTGGAGAATGGAGACTCCACCCCGAGTCTGTTCAGCTGATATGGACGCGATTCGGGGAGGCACAGATTGATCTGTTTGCTTCCCCCGAGAACGCTCATTGCCAGTTGTTTTTTTCCCTGACCGAGGGCTCTCAGCACGGATGCACTGGCCCACAGCTAGCCTTGGGGCATGCGCAAGTATGCGTTTCCCCCAGTGAGCCTGCTCGCGCAGTTACTGTGCAAGGTCAGGGAGGACGAGGAACAGGTTCTGCTAGTTGCGCCCCTTTGGCCCAACCGGACCTGGATATCAGAGCTCTCACTCCTTGCGACGGCCCTCCCCTGGCAGATCCCTTTGAGAGAGGACCTACTCTCTCAGGGACAGGGCACCATCTGGCACCCTCGCCCCGATCTTTGGAACCTCCACGTGTAGTCTTTAGACGCGAGGAAGACTTAGGTAACCTACCGACTGCGGTTGTTAATACGATCACTCAGGCTAGAGCCCCCTCCACGAGGCACGCCTACGCCCTAAAGTGAAGTCTATTCACTGAATGGTGCGTCTCTCGCAGAGAAGACCCCCGAAACTGCCAGATTAGTGTTGTGCTCTCTTTCCTTCAAGAGAAGTTGGACAGCAGGCTGTTGCCCTCCACTCTCAAGGTTTACGTGGCCGCCATCTCCGCTTATCATAACGCGGTAGCTGGCGGCACCGTGGGAAAGCATAACCTCATCATCCGGTTCCTTGGGGATGCTAGAATTAATCCATCTCGCCCCCCTCTCATGCCCTCTTGGAATCTCGCCCTCGTTCTCACGAGTTTGCGAGCCGATCCCTTTGAGCCTCTCGAATCAGTATCTAAGATATCTGTCCCTGAAGACAGCTCTGCTGGTTGCGTTGGCCTCCATCAAGAGGGTCGGGGACCTGGAGGCATTTTCGGTCAGTGACTCGTGCCTGGAATTCGGGCCGGATTACTCTCACGTCATCCTGAGACCTCGCCCGGGTTATGTGCCCAAGGTTCATACCACCCCCTTTAGAGATCAGGTAGTGAACATGCAAGCGCTGCCCCCGGAGGAGGCAGATCCAGCCCTTTCTTTACTTTGTCCAGTTCGCGCTCTGCGCATTTATGTGGACCGTACTCAGAATTTTAGATCATCTGAGCAGCTCTTTGTCTGTTATGGCGGTCGGCAGCAGGGAAGTGCCGTATCAAAACAAAGATTATCCCACTGAATTGTGGATGCCATTTCACTTGCTTATTCGAGTCAAGGTCAGACGTGTCCCCCGGGAGTGCGTGCACACTCCACTCGGAGCGTTGCATCCTCTTGGGCGCGTGCACGCAACGCCTCTCTAACAGACATCTGTAGAGCTGCGGGCTGGGCGACACCCAACACATTTGCAAGGTTTTACAATCTGCGAGTGGAGCTGGTTTCCTCAAGGGTATTAGGTAACCCTTTAGTGATTGAGGAAACAACTCGGTAGGTGTTGTACACGCTTGCTGCGCCATTTCCCCTAACACGGAGATACGTGCACCCTTTTATCTGTCAGTAAAGTTCCCCGTCAGGTGAGCCCTGCAGATTCCTCCATGGCCCCCAGCACTGACTCAGCGGAGGAGTCATTTGCTGGCCCACTACGTTGTAAGTCTGCCCGTTGGTCAGCCCGCGTTTTGGGTATAGGTGCCTGCTATGCGTGATCCCCTCTAGGCGATCCCATATGCTTATTCCGCCATGGTTAAGTCCCCCCCCTGGGCGGACCAGTGTCTTCCCTCTCCGCTAACCACTCTTTTGCTATGCGTACTCCCCCTTTTTAGGGCTAGTCCATATGTAATCTTGCCATCTATCCCCCCTTGGGTAACGGATGGCCTCCGCAGCATCCTCCCTATCGGGATTGCACGCTTCCCAACGTACTATCGTATTTTCCTAGAATTATCTAGATGCTCACGACTCCCAAAAAATATATCTAAATCCGTAAGACTTCTGTTGAAGTAGGATAAATTAGGGCCAGGGACACGTTGGAGGACCGCGCCTCCCATGATGTGGGTGCGTCACGCTTGCTTGACTATTCCCTCATCGGGGGCGTTGGTTTGGTGCAGTCATTATGGCGCTTTCCACTTCTCCCATTCGTGGATTTCAATCAATCCACTCTATGGCACTGAAGTTCCCCAACCGAAGGGGAACGTTCGAGGTTACAGAAGTAACCCTTCGTTCCCCGAGGAGGGGAACGGAAGTGCCATACTCCGTCGCCATAATGACTGTCCCTTAGCTGTTTGAAAGTCTCTTCAGCTTAAAAGGATGGCGTTTGCTCGCTTCAGGTGTGCTTATATGCTGGGATAATTGGCGATGCAGCACACCTGCGCAAGCTTACGCTGCCAATTCATTTTCATTCATTGGCCCGTTCAATACTTTCCAGACAAGCAGCTTCTGTTCCGAATCTCCCATTCGTGGATTTCAATCAATCCACTTTATGGCACTTCCGTTCCCCTCCTCGGGGAACGAAGGGTTACTTCTGTAACCTCGACTGTTTTACCATTACTTCAAGGCCCAAAAATGGCAAAAAGCACTATAAAGTAAAGTCAGTGATAGTCACTCATACTCATCCAAATTTGTTCACACACATTCCCCAAAATTTTGGGGTTTTAACAAAAAGGTGTGACATAATTTATATTTCTGGGTGAACTTGACTTTCATTACACTAAATATACTCTTCATATTTAATTGACAGTATATATTGTAACTTATCTTTTGTTTATTGTCTGTTTGGTTGTTCAGTTTGTAGAATAAGCAACTCATACTTATATGATATATAATATACCAATACTGATGTCTGATGGACACTGATGATTTTTATATATTCCACAGGCACTGTCTACGGTCAAGGGACCTACTTTGCAGTGAACGCCAGCTACTCTGCTAATGTGAACTATGCGGTTCCTGCAGCAGACGGGACTCAGCAGATGTTTGTGGCTCGTGTGCTTACGGGTCATTATACAATGGGTTTTGGGGATATGAGGACGGCCCCTGTCCGTGTTGTTCCAGACCAGTTCTATGACAGTGTGGTAGATTACACTCAGAATCCCACAATGTTTGTGGTTTTCCATGACTGTCAGGCTTATCCAGACTACCTCATTACATTTAAATGAACTTCTAAAACAGTCTGCCTTAGCTTACAGTTTTTCTCAATGGCTTTGGTGCATTTCTGACAACACTACTTACATTTGCACAACAGTTATTGTATTTCTCAAAACAATTACAAACTGCAAAACCTAGTTGATAACCTGCAAAAGTGTGTCAGATGCTCAAAATGGAGAGCTCATTCCTAAAAACAAGTTTTGATGTCAATGAAAGTGTCATCAAGATGAAAAGTCCTGACACCATTGTTTATAAACAAGATAGTCAAATGGCTTTGTCATGTTTTCATTATGAAAGTTTACTCTAAAAATTTTCCAATGCAAAAACGTGAGATCAAAGACAGCACTATAGACTATTTGCACAGTCATTTGAAAACTACAGTAAAGTTAGACATCACTGCATTTAGTGAGATATCTGAGTACAAGACACTGAATATGTATGTGTCACATTTTTACTGCATTTGCTTTTTGTCATTCTAATTTACTCACAGCATTGTGCAAAATAATAAACACACCCTTATTTACAACAAACATAAACTCCCTTTAGGTAGAGCTGTGCACAACTGTATGCAATATTGCAGTACATATTTGAACTGAACCTACAACATACACAGGTCTGTAAATCATTCATCAAATTGTTCAACTTAGAAACCATTTTCAGGAAAAAAAAATATTTAAAATTTGTTTTATAAAATTTGCTTGACAGATTTTGACAACTAGTTCAGCATTTTTGTATGTAATGACTCAAGTAGTGAAATGAGGACTATTTTATATGAAATGACTATTCAGGCTTCAAAAGTTGAGTTAATTTTGACTGACACGACATAAGCAGATGATAATGTTAGAAAGCAGCAGAGAGTTGTATGAAAGCAATTGACACGTCCAAAAGCATTTGCAATTTGTTGGAAGGAATGAGAAACTGTTGTGCAAATGTAAATAGTGTTTTGATAAATGCACCAAAGCCACTGAGAAAATTGTAAATTGACAGTTTCCTCAAACATGATAATGTATTAATTATTTATTCTCCTTCAAGTGGATCAAACCTTTACGAGTTTTTTTTCTTCTCTTAAAAACAAAAGAAGATATATATATTTATAAAAACGCTGAAAATGGTAATTAGTAAAACCGGTTGACTTCCATAGTAGGAAAAGCAAATTTATTACAAAAAAGTTTTTTCAGCAGCTAAAATTATGTCAGTTATTTCTATTGGTTTAATGAGTCTGGAAATATCAGTTTACATCATGTCTCAAACTTCAAAAAATTCCTGGAGAGCTGCAGCTTTGCACAGTTTTGCTCCAACCCTTACCATACAAGCTGATCCAAATAATTGAGCTGTTCAAGACTACTGGACACTAGTAATGGCAAATTCAGACTGCATGATTTTCAAAGTAATCGTGTCATGGATGTTTTCACACTGTATGACTATCTAGGCTAGCGTTTTGTCGCTGCTTTGTTTACATTGCAAGATGGTTCGGCGACAGGGTTTCACATTGCATGACTTTACAATTGGAAGAATCACGGACAACATTGTCTAAACTACGTCTCACAACCAAAACATAGTATATCTTTTGTCATTAACTACATAACGAGAAAGAAGCCTTTAATGGGGTGAAAAATTTACTTATTTGCTCACCTGGGTTTGAAGGGAATTAGCCATTTCTCCTCAACTTTTTTCTTTTTTGACCCGGTTGTGAAATTGCTCAAATTTCAAGTCAAACAGACACGGGGGCTGCTGCCAAATTTCTGATAGTTTTTTCTTCATTTATTGGGTCCAAATAAACTAAAAATGAGCACTTTTTACTTCAACTTCAAACTCCTGCTGGCCTGCAGATACCCACACTAGTGCTTTCTGCTCCCTCAATAGCTATAGGTAGTCGCTGATATTATATTCAGTTAAAACTCATTTCACATGGCAGACAACTTTAGATTTTTAGCATGACGTCTGCGATTTGTTTGCGATTCTGTAAAATGGCGTCATTGATAGTTCATACTGTGTGATTGTTACTCGCGTGAACAAGCACCAATTTGCCTGTGATTTCAGGCATTTAACTGCGATTTCTCAAAACCTGTCAGCAAGTCAAAATCGGGGCTAAAATCATGCAGTCAGAACTTGGCGTTAGCTGCATTTGTAAACGCATACTTACATAATAAATAGTAGGCTACAATAAAAACAGTATGCAAGCTGAGTAGTACGTCCGAATTCATAACATTCAAAAAGAGAGAATTCATGAGTTTGATTGAATCAACGCAACTGACGTGGGCAGGTAATGTGATCATGACAAAATGGCAGTGTAGTATGTTTGATTTCCATTCATACTGCTCACATTCATACTGTATAGAACACACTTTTTTAGTGGTTGAGTAGTAAATTTCAAATGTATTACCTACTAAGTAGTAGAGGATTTCAGATGATTTGCAACATTAATCTTGAACACCTTGATTAGTTGGATGAGCTGTGCTTGATTAGTGTTGGAGCAAAACTGTGCAAAGCTGTAGCTCTCCAGAAATTGAGTTTGAGACCTATGATTACATTTTCAAACCATTTTTTTGCATATAGATTTATGCAGTTTTTGATCAAGTGAAGAAAGAAACTCATAAAGGTTGAGAATAATTCAAAGGTGAACAAGAAAATATATTAAAACTTTAAAAAGTAATGTATTAAAGGGAGATTTCTTGAAGTGTCTTGGATAGGTTATTTAGGTTTCCTAGCCTGTGTCAGTTTCTACTTTTTTCATGATGGTGAGATCACTAGGGGGGATGGTTGGTTTATACAAAGTTGAAGGGTGGGGGAGGCATGGTGTATTCAATACAAACTTTATTGGGGAGGGGTTCAATAAGAAATCAATGTCCAGGGCTGGGGGCAAATGATGGGTTTTAGGTATAAGTGCGGGTGGGGGTGGGGGGAGGGGGTAGTAAATTGTTACGTAGTTGGGAGATGAGAGGGTGGGGGGGTGTTCTATATGAAGTCAAAGCCCAAGGCTGAGAGCAAGTGATGGGTTTGATATGAGGTAGAAGTGTTTGTGTGTTTGTGTGTGTGTGTGTGTGTGTGTGTGTGTGTGTTGGGGGGTGGGGGTGGAGGGTTAGTGTATTGTTACGTAGTTGGGGTATGAGAGGGTAAGGGAGGGATGGGGTGGGTTGAAGTCGATGTCCAGGACCCAGGGCAAATAACTAAGCTGGGGAGTGAGAGAGAGGGTGTGTTTTATATGAAGTCTAAGGCCCCGTTTACACTATTGCGTTTTAGTTTTAAAACGGCGTTGTAGAATGAAAACGATCCGCATCCACACTAGCGTTTTACCCAGCGTTTCTGAACTGCTCTCCGTCCACACCAAAACGCTGAAAACGCACATCACGTGACCACACAGACACACTCGGGCAAGCGCTCCAGCATTTCTACCCAGATGAGAGCTCTGCTTGTCGGACTGCTCATCACGCATCTCCCGCTGGATCTAATCTCACTATATTTGCTAAACGTGATATTTCATTCATGTTGTTGTCTTTATCTAACGACATAGGCCAATTCCCTGACTTTGGTCATTGGAATCTATTAAGTTACTTGTTCACGGGTAACATGTTTTGGTTAAGCGCAAAGATAAGTTAATGATTAATCCAGGTACATTGACTGATCGCTTGCCTTTATTTCCTACAATGTATAAACTTATTGTATGTTATACTTTTATAATTATCGATTATTAAAACTGATATTCAGCAGAAGAGGGTGCGTTTCGTATTTTCACTGAAATTGAAAGGAGGCTGTTGTTATCGGCTCCGTTTTGTTATAAATATCCACACAGTGAAGATGACGCTCATATATATAGCACGGCGCCTCAACATGTCTGCTGTCTGTTAAGTTGCTAATATTAAAAAGAAAATAGGCAGTTCCTTAAATCATGTTTACATTTTATTGTTGAGAAAGTGAAACAACGTAGCCAAGGTGATGTGAATGAAGTTATAAAGTACACTGTTCCCTTTGAAGATTTACGCGTGTCCTCTGTATGTTTTCCATATCAAACTGAGAAGGGGGAGACTGCAGCCTTGATCAAACTTGCGAAGTCTTAACTTACAAGAAGAGGATGCGAGACTGAACTGTGTGTGGGCTACTTAATATTGAGGAAAAGCCCCAATCAGATAGGCGAACGTTTGCAGCCCCGCCTCCGTTTTCAGATGTCTCCATCTTTCCCCATCCACACTGAGACGGAGCAGCAGCGTTTTAGAATGAAAACGGCCTCTCCAGCGTTTCCAAAATGCTCCGTTTTCGGCGCTCGAGAACTCCGGCGTAGTGTGGACGGATGGCGTAACCGTAGCAAAACTTATGCGTTTTCAAACTAAAACGCACTAGTGTAAACGGGGCCTAAGTCTGAGGCTGGGGGTGAATAGTGGATTTGACATGAGGTAGAAGTGCGGGGGCAAATCGTGGATTGTTACGTAGTTAGGGGGTGAGAAGGTAGGTGCTGTTCTATGTGAAGTCAGCATCCGAGGCTGGGGCGTAGGGTGGGTTGGTACAAAATTAATGAGATCGAAAGAAGGGTTGTATATTAAGTTGAAGAGGAAGGCCCTTGAAACCCATATATTTACCGGAACATTATATCTAATTTGGGAGCCACTATAAATATGCGGCAGCCACTGGGAGAGTTAGGATGACTGACAACTGTATGTTGATAGTCATATACTTGCGTGTATTTTTGAATATAATCACTTTTATTTAAAAGTCTAGGTTTAGTTAGTTACATTAGATTTAGTTTTTGGAGATATTGTATGTTTAAGAACTAACTAATGAGTGATTTTGTGGGCTTTATTGTGGGCACATTATGTAATTCTTCTCTCAAGATCAAAATGAAACAATCATTTAAACATTTTCTTTAAGCTACCTTAAGTACCAGATATAAATATGCTTCTAATAATAATAACAACTAGACATATACAAGGCACGTGTACAATGGCGAGGAAGTAAAACTGCAAACTTTAGGGGGAAGACTGTGAGGATTTAATACAACATTATTAATTATGCAGAAAAATTTAATTAAAACTGTATGTGGGAAAATTCATGTGAAAAAAC